TGGGAGGGAAGAAGTTTTGACTGCTGGACGTGCAAACAGTGGCAGCTGCTGCTGCAGCAGCTGGAGAAGCTATCTCTTTGTTTGAGATCAATTACGTCCAATTGATCAATATGCAATACGCTTTAAGGAATTGTGGGATCCAATCATAGATAAGGCAGCTGCCGAAACTGAAGTTAACTTTGAAGAGAGGGAATGGGAACTTGATCGTATTGAAAATATAAGGAGGAATGGAGGCTGAGATTGATGATGATGAAGAACCTCTTGTTTATGAAAGTAAGTATTTTGCATACGCTTTAAATTTAGGCTTTGTATGGGAGAAGAAAAATGGTTAAATAACGGAACGGACTGGAAGATATTTTACATTGTTTGGATATAATAATAAGGTAATGAGAAAAATATTTTACTTGTTTCGATAGGAGGTGAAAGAGACTGTAAAATTACTAATGTGTAAAAGACAATAATATAAGTTATTAGATATAAATGTAACAAAAGAATGCGGGTGATTTACTAAATCAACCAAATTTGAGGGACAAGAATTTTGGGCCTTTGAGAGAGAATGAACATACATAATTCACCTCCATTTCTACATAATTCCGTTCTGTTCCATCCTCTCCCCTTCGAACATACCCTCAAGGCAGTATATCAGTGTCCTACTTCATAAAACAATCACCTTTCGATGAGAAGAATTTGTTTCCTTTAGGCCTTTTTTGTGTAGCTGCATTCTGTAGTTTGGTTTGAAATATTGGTACTGATACTTTGTATTGAGTTCTTTCAAAAAACTAATACTTTGTACTGAGGCCATTTTTTGTTTTTTTCTGTCCAAATGTTTCCCAACAGCATTAACAACAGTAGTCAGTATTTTTCTTAAAGGAAAAATAAGTATGTCATAAACAAGTCAGTGCCACCAATTGTGTCAATCTGCTTGTTGGTTATCAATTGAAGCAGTATGGCATGTTATATACCCTACTGGTTCATATCCGTATCACGTCCATGTAATTCTTTGTCCATAAAGTTCTCTAACATGGTGGATGTTTCTATTAGAGTTCCCGTTCATGAAAATTAGAAAAGTTCTAATCTGCAGTAGCTAGCTTGGGTTTAAACTCATGTTTTATCTACAATTCTCAGGTTGGGATGCTGATTTTGCGACTGAGGCATATCGGCAGCAAGTTGAAGCCTTGGCTCAGCATCAGGTTGATGAAAGAAATATCTGTTGTGCATTTTCATACACCTGTTTCCTCTTTCTGCCATTTTACTGTTGCTGGTTATATTTGTAGTTAATGGAAGAACTGGAATGTGAAGCTAAAAGGAAGGAAGATGCAGATGATGCAAATTTAGCTTTGACAAGGTAAGTTAGATAAACTCTTACCCACTGATAGTTCATTGAATTCTGTTCTGTTGGAAGTAAATTATTTGCCTGTATATAGCATGTTTATTATGAATTTCGCTGTAATATTAGGTATAATGTTCCTAGATTTTAGGTCGAGTCATCATTTCCAGATACCGAGCAGAATGTATACTGATTTCTGAATCGGTGTTATCTTAGAGGCTGAAACATGCGCTAGGGCGTGAAGATATTTTATTTTGTTTTCTGTTTTGTCATCAATCTATTTTCTGTTAGCAGGAACGACATGGCCATTGTTCCCCGACCAAAGTCTAAAAAGAAACCAAAGAAAAAGTTCAAATCCCTGAAGAAAGGATCTCTGGGTTCTGGACTGAAGTCTGTAAAAGAAGAGTCAAAAATGGAATCTATGTCCATAGATGGTGATTTTTACGACGAGGAGGTCACTGGTTCAGATACTGTGTCACCCACTTCGAGTATGCAGAAAAAGCGGAAGAAGTCTGAAGTAACACGTGATCAGAAACAAGAAAATAATTCAAAGAAGAAATCTAAGAAAACCAAGAAGATGTCTCATCAAATCTGTCCTTCAGACGTGGATTTCAACCAGGCTGGTAACCAGCATGACGATATGGAGTCAAAGCTTCGTGACGTCATTCTTATTGATCTTGAGCACAAACCAGCAAGCAAAGGTAAAACTGGTGGCAAAATTTTTATCACTGCGGTACCACTGAAGCGGGTTTTGATGATAAAGCCAGAGAAGTTAAAAAGAGGAAATATTTGGTCAAGGGATTGTGTCCCGTCACCCGATTTGTGGTTGCCACAGGAGGATGCTGTATTATGTGCTGTTGTACATGAATATGGTCCACACTGGAGTTTGGTTAGTGAAACATTATATGGGATGACTGCCGGTGGGATTTATAGGGGTAGATATCGCCACCCTGTTCATTGTTGTGAGAGGTTTAGAGAACTAGTTCAAAGATATGTCTTGTCTGCGCATGACTTTTCTGTTAGTGACAAACCGAGCAATACAGGCTCTGGAAAGGCTCTTCTTAAAGTAACAGAGGTATGTTTGGTCTAGCAACTTATTTTCTTTTCGGACATTAGTGGAACAAAGAGGAAAAGAAGCAGGTTGTATAAAATGGATTACATTTGTGTCATGGATAATTTAATGATCATTATTCTACCCCTTCCCTCTTTGTGATGGCTTTCCGGGGAGATCACAGATGCAATCATAATCAATTTTTATTGTTTATGGATTTTTTTAAATTGTTACTATTTTTCGTTTACTTTTATTTGGAGGCTTGGATTAAGACAATTGACAGTGAAATGCATGTTTCTTGATATATGTATAAAGCATTGGTTGTAGTTTATTTTGTGATTATTGTTATTTTCTTTTGCATATAAAACCTACTTAACTCTGTTTTAACCCCTCAAAATTGTAGTCCTCCAAATGATCTTTCCTGTGGGTTCTTTTTTGCAGATTTGCTTGTCACTTTAATCTCCAAATGCATGTCAAATATCATACTGATTTGGATGTTAAACTCGGAGAAATGTATTTATTAATATAGTAGTGACTTCTTTTAGTAAGATAAGATGTTCATAGTTTGAAATAAAATAGAGGCTTGTTCGTTAATTTTTTGTTGTTGCAGGATAATATTCGGATGCTCTTAAACGTTGCTGCTGAGCAGCAAGATACTGAATTGCTTCTTCAAAAGCACTTCACAGCCCTGCTTTCATCTGTGTGGAGGGTGACATCTCGCACTGAGCACCGTCAAAATCTCTCGTCTGGTAATGGTCTCTATTCAGGGGGGAGGCTTTTTGGTTCACCTATATGCCAAAGTTCACGAAGTTTAATAAGGGAACCTGCACAAAGGATGAAATTTACAAATTCAGGGAGTAAGTTATTGGCCACTGCGCTTCATGATGCAAACATTAGAGAAAGGAATGACATGATTTCCCTTTCCAATTGGAAAGAAGATGCTCCTGTTGCTACAGATAAGTTGGAAATAACATTGGAATTCCCAAGGGAAGGAGATGACGATGTGATTCCACTGCCACCTGCCATAAATTTATCTATATGTGGTTTTGATCCATTAATGTGTGTAAATAATACTGTAGGAGAAGATAACCATCTTAAATCTTCACAAGCTATTGCTGAGAGCCGTTTCAGGTATGGCCTTAAGCCTTTTATGCTTTCATGATTAAAGTATTTGATTATTCTGTACAAACCTGCTCTTACTATCTTGTGGAAAACGTATACTCCCTTGGTTGTCTGTGTGTTGCCTTAGACATTTAATTTGTGAGAATCCAACTTTATAACTTGTGTTCTAACTAAATCTTCATGTCTAAGTGGGGATAT